ATTTCTAATTTCTATATATTTATATATATATATATATATATATACACGTGTTTTTAGGTTTTGTAATACAGTGTGTCTTATTACTGGTCTGTAGTTGCAAAGTTTGAAGAAAATGCTTGTGGTTTGTTTAAAAATAGTCTACCTTACAGACTTTCGACACAGTACTGTTCTCAGAATGTTTTACTGTATTGAATAATATAGAACTTAAATTGGGGGGAAAAATGCTTTTTTTTTGGAAGATTCATTTTCTTTTCTTTCATTCAGAATTTTCTTTTTGGAATCATGACTCAGCTAGTCACACAGCATTAACGTTTTTCTCAATCAGTAAATATATAGTTATGTGAGTGTGTGTGTGTATTTATCAGTGTTTCCCCCACCCCTTTAATCAACAGGCATTCTCAAAAGTAAAATTATGTAAACTGCAGCCATTGTTGTGTGTTGCAGTAATTACACAACAGAAGTTTGTTCTATGGCTGTGTGACAATGTGCCAGATTATACCTCAGCATTGGTCGCATCACGTAACGTTATTTAGGCTTTATAGAGGAAATATGGGTTTTAAGATGTATATATAGTTGGAGGATGTGGATCTTATAGCTATCCTTGTGTATTGTATCATGAATTACCTAAAGCACAGTGTTAAAGTTATTTTAAATTATTATTAGAAGTGTCGAAAATTTTAATGGTAAACAAACATCTATCTTATCCACAGGTCAGTGTAACGTCCTTTGGCATTTCATATCCTTGATAGTATCCACGGGTCAGTGTAACGTCCTTTGGCATTTCATATCCTTGATAGTATCCACGGGTCAGTGTAACATCCTTTGGCATTTCATATCCTTGATAGTATCCACGGGTCAGTGTAACGTCCTTTGGCATTTCATATCCTTGATAGTATTCTGTATTTATAGTACCAAGTAAAGAACTATTATAAATAAGTAACATATATATATATATATTTAGGTGTTTTATGTTAAAGCAGCAAATTACATAAATTTTGGTTAATTATAAAATTTTTATGCCATTTTTATTTAGGTTAGCGAGCTTTTATGAAAGAGTATTCTGTCCTTTGCAAGAAGAACTGATTGTTAGAGTCAAAATTGAAGAAAGTACCAAGTATGTTTTAATTTACACTACATTTGAAGATTTTATTTAAATTGGATATTGTTTTGTTTTAGCTAATTTTTTATCAGTTTTATTCTTCCGGTGTTATCGATACTATTGGAAACCATGGAAATAAAAAATTAATATTTTGTAATAATTACTTATAACGAAACAAATGTCAGAAAAACTTAAAAGATGTAGTGGAATATCTCGGATATGTATAATAGAAAGATTATAGTTGTTACTCAGCTTTAGTATGGTATGTTTAAACCAGTTTGTTATTATTACAATTTCTAAAAGTCATATTGTTGTCTTAATTTCTTTACTAAAACAGTAGCTTTATTAGTATTTTTTTTTTGTATGCTAAAATAAATTTCAAAAAAACAATTTAGGAATTTTGCTTTTTCATATTATAGCAAATAGCTAAACATTTTTTTGTGGTTGAATATATTTTTCTACAGACGTAACATTAAAAGAAGTCATCGTGTCCACTTGACCCTTTGTTGTCTGTGTTTGACCTCTTATTGCATTTATTTTTTGTTGTCCTTGTATATTGCTGGAAATTAAAAACTGCCATTGTGGTTTCTACTCAAGGTTTCCAAAGATCTTTTCGTGAACATTTATTAGATGCTAATTTTTTTTTATTCAAGAGACATATTAACATACTCTAGTAGGCTTTATTAAAAAAAATAAAAGATTTATAAATAATATAAAAATAAATTATTTGTGTGTAATATTAAAAAGCATAATTATTTAATCATTTTTTTTTACTTGTAGAATAATTTGACTTTGATGCTCAAGCAATTGCATTTAAGGTATAATGAAAAACCTTTTTTTAAATATTAAAACTTAAGTTTATTTCGCATAGTTGCTGGTGAATGTTTACCGTGTTTTTATATTAACATTGTTTCATGTGACATATATATATGCTTTTTTCTATTCTTTAGTCTCGTAAAGGAAGTTAGAAAAAGGATCTTCTTGGCTAAATCTTGTGTAATAAAAATGTTTCGGAATATCCTGGTTTACAGCTGTATTCAACCTATAATTGAGTCAAGGTAATTTTTTTTTTACCTGCGAATATAAAACTGTCAAACTGTATTTGATTGTTTTGAAATCTGTCGATGTTTTCTTTGTTATTCTGCATTCTTTAATTTTTTTTCTTTATGGATTTACACTATAGAATAACAACGTAGTAACATGGATTTACAGTGTAGAATAACAACGTGGTAACATGGATTTACAGTGTAGAATAACAACGTGGTAACATGGATTTACAGTGTAGAATAACAACGTGGTAACATGGATTTACAGTGTAGAATAACAACGTAGTAACATGGATTTACAGTGTAGAATAACAACGTAGTAACATGGATTTACAGTGTAGAATAACAACGTAGTAATAATTATTAATCATTTATTATGACATAAAGTGTGTTTGAGGTTTTGTAGTATTTCTTAACTTAATTTTTAAGATAGTTTCTGTACATAAAACATAGCAGACATGTATTTATTCATTTGTTTTACAGTGAGACCAGTTTAAGGATATTTTGTGTTATTTTCAGCTCTAATAAACAAAGTGAAGAAGTTCCATTCTTAGAGGACTTACTACAGGTCTTAAGTACTTGTCTTTCCGAGAAAAGGTATCCTGTATGAACATTTACACTACCTCTTAATTATGTATATTGTTTGTTACTATGAGCTTAAAAATACAGAATATATATTATAGTTACTAAGTATGCATGTTGTAAAGAGTTTAATAATATTAATAAGGTATGATAGACCTTTGAAATGGTCATGATGCGAGATCGGCACGGGACAAGATATCCCGCAAACAAGAGTTGTTCTTCCGTGATTAAAAGAAACGTGTACCTAAAGAAAAGCTTTAAACAAGATAATGTAAAAATCTGATTTGGCAATGAACTGTCATCGATGACAAGTACACCCTTTTGTTACATTAATTAATATTGTTTCTATGTTTGCCTAAAGGAAGTATTATTAATGTTGTCATACATCAATGTTTTAATGTTAACATGCTCAATATAAATACTCCCAGATGGTATAAGGTTTATTAAATGTGACAAAACAACATTTTTACAAGGTTTCTGTGATAGGGGTTAAGATTCATTTCTCATTGACTTTTTGGTACTGGTGAGATATATCTGTTGCATCGAGGTAAAATTGAACCATTGAATAAAAATGATGTATAGAAAATAAACTTATAGTCATTTTCCACACATATTTCTTAAACACTTTGGAGTAACAATTGATTAGATAAAAAAGTTTTATTTAATTTTATGCATAAAAACTCGTAAATGCTGATTTTGGGTTAGTTTCAGTCTACTCAAAACGAATATATATGTCCTTGTGAATTTTATGAATTTTTTTATGAGCATAATACAGCACTCATGTCCTCTTTAGGATACTTAATTATGATACTGCAACATGATCGGGAAATGTTTTTTGTGTCACGTTAAGAATTGTTATGCTTAGTTAACATCATTTTGCATTCGACTTTTTGAAATAGTTTTGAACACAACGGAAACAATTTGGACCTTGTAGCTTCAGTACGAATGGAATTGTATAATAAAGCCAGAGTATATCTAGAATGTAGATGATAAAGTTTGAAAATATATTCCCTTCCCCTGGTTAAAAATTGTTCCATATTTAGTTATAAATTACAAGTCTTAAGCCTACATCCAGTCCCACAAGAAGAATGTTTGTCTAGTGACTCCATAAAAGTGAATCTTCAAATTGGTAAAGTTGTATTTTAACATGGAATGAAAGATCACGACTGAAATGTGTTATTTTCACCGATTTCTAAATAGATTACACATATTTAAAGATGTGTAGATATATCTTTACTACTAAGTGAAATGTTTATACTATTATAGGTTTATCTGTGATTATCAGGAGATGTTTCCATTTGAAGATGATTTAGACATGCTCTCTCAGACAAACTTCAGCCTGTATCTTTTAAATGTAATGTTATTAACTTAAGATTTATAAGCAGTTGAAATTAAGGTTAGTATTTCTGTGTGAATCAAACCCATTATGTATTATAAATATGTCAGCTTAGAATTTAATTAATATTAACTTCTTATCATAGACCAGAACTAAAAATCAACCTAGTCATTAATATAGCTAATTTAATATGCTGTTCCTAGTTACAGTGATTAGAATGTATTATTTCATCAGTTGGGTTCTCTCACTGTTAATATTTTTGGCTGTAAATACAAAAGTACTTCATGAGGTTCAACTGGATTAGAAGATTTAGGTTAGTCCTGAATTTATCAGATTAGGAGATGTAGGTTAGTCCTGAATTTATCAGATTAGGAGATGTAGGTTAGTCCTGAACCCATCGGATTAGGAGATTTAGGTTAGTCCTGAACCCATCGGATTAGGAGATTTAGGTTAGTCCTGAACCCATCGGATTAGGAGATTTAGGTTAGTCCTGAACCCATCAGATTAGGAGATTTAGGTTAGTCCTGAACCCATCAGATTAGGAGATTTAGGTTAGTCCTGAACCCATCGGATTAGGAGATTTAGGTTAGACCTGAACCCATCAGATTAGAAGATTTAGGATAGTCCTGAACCCATCAGATTAGGAGATTTAGGATAGTCCTGAACCCATCAGATTAGGAGATTTAGGTTAGTCATGAACAACCATATTAGGAGACTTAAGTTAGTCCTGAATTCATCAGATTAGGAGATTTAAGTTCACCCTGAACCCATCAGATTAGGAGATTTAAGTTAGTCCTGAACCCATATACTTTGTTAAATAATCTTTACAATTAAAGTATATGATAATGAGAACATTCTAACGAATACTGTTAACGAGAATAACATTAAAGAAAAAATAGAATATAATATCTGTAATGCTATCATTTATTTTAAAATACATTGGTATTTACCTACACCTGTTCTGTTGTCTAGTCTGTAAGTTGGCCCTGGAATCTGGAGCTATAAGCTGTGTTCAAAGCCTACACTTTAAGCTATAAGGTGTATTATAATAGTGATGGTACATTCATTAGCTTGGGAGTGGTAGGGTTATAGGTGTAGATGTGCCTCTGAAGTTCTTTCTTGACCACAAGACAATCAGCGACTCTACTCGAACAGAGTACATTTTGAACAGTATCTATGCTTCGTATGAACTTATAGGGCAGAGCTCTGAGAGAAAAGAAATTTCATTAAATGTGCCTCCTGCTGGGAACAAAGATCACAATTTCATAGAAGTTCAAGATAATGACACGGCATGTTTGGAGGTAGGTTTTTAATTCATCTCTCTTCCTCAATTCATAAGGGTAGAGTGTGTGTAAAGAAATCGGACTTTTGGAGATACCTTAACTCTTCTTTTGTTTTATTTTACTCCAAACCGTCTCAAGAAAATAAAACAAAAGAACCACAGTAATTATCTGCAAAAGTCAATTTTCATTCTTCACTCAAACATTTTTCTCTTTTTTAATATTTACATATTTTATAAATCTGGTTGTTGTTATAGATGCCTATTGTTTTGTGAAAGTAATTATCTCAATGTATATACACGTGTGCTTATTTCTTTTATATATATACCCCATTTTTCTTTTCTTCCACTTTCTATGTTTAAGCTTTATAATAGCAACTGTTATGTCAATATTTTTACATCAGTTTTTTATAGCCTTACTTACCATAAACCTATTTTAAAGTTCTTTTAAATATGAAAATGTGTTAATCTGGTACTTTGATGTTTGTATGGTATTAAAAAAATAATAAAAACTTGATTTTTTCTGTAGTTTAAAAGATGAAAGGATGGAGTTACTGTTTCATTTCCTGTTACCATTCCCTTACATAACACTAGTTGTGAAAACACTCTTTGGTCATGAAAGGTTTACCATTCCCTTACATAATACTAGTTGTGAAAATGTTCTTTGGTCATGAAAGGTTTAGTGTCAAAATAAAGTAAACATTGTAGGCTGTATGATGTATGTAAATGTTGAAATTTGAGTCTCATAGCTTGAATAATCTTAAATTCAAGAATGGACTTCAGTATTTAGAAGAAGCTTGTGGAGGGCCAAATGTGGAGGGTATTGAGCTGGAATCATTAATAACTCAAGTTTTGGATTTACTACCTGGATTAGGACCAGGTTTTGTAGAGGTAAAGTTAGATTATTTTCTAATTTGTTTTCATTCATAAAATAAGTCCAAATGCATCATAAAGAAAGGGAAGTAGGCAACAGTCCATGTGTGTTAGTAACTATTTTACACTTGACATTTGTATCTGTAGAGAATAATAACTTTGTATTTTGCTAGGCAAAAAAAAAATCTTTTAATGGTGTAATACTTATTAATTTTCTGCAATTACGTTTCACACTATGTATGTGAAATCTAAAGAACTCTATTTTTGATGCTGAAGGATTTGTTGTAATGTAACTGTTAAAAATAGAAAATGTTTTATGACTTGAATTGTTCACGTTTTGTATCCGTGTCCTTTGGTAAAATCAAATCAATCGTGTTTCAGGTAAATCTTACCCAATATATCAGCTGCTGTATCGGTAGTTTCTCTGCAAGATAAGGCTTATAAAAGCACGTGTTATCACATGAACACAGAAGTTAATATGTAGAGCCATGTATGTTGTTTTCACAGGAGTGCTTGAAATATTACAACTTTGAAGTAGAACTTGTGATCAACTCTTTGTTAGAAGATAGTCTACCAGAATCACTGGCTTCCCTCGACAGAAACATGGAGAGGTAATACAGTTTATTTCAAATCATTTTCTGTGATACTCTTGTTTACGAAATTAATCCACCGTAGAAATGGATAAGACTTTCTAAAAATAGTTCTCTGTGAAGATGACAATTTCACGATAAAAATCAATCGAAATCTTAGTTGAGGAGTTGTGATCCTAACATTATCAGAATATGGTAATATTTCATACAGTTAACTCGTCCGTAAACATCACACATTGTCTTTTACTTCCCACAATGTACCATTATTTTTGTAGGATTGGAGAATGTATTGCATTGATGCTACTGACTTCTTCTGAGTTATTAAGCAGACAAGCTGTTTAATAAGAAGAAATGCTTTTTAAATGAAATAGATTTTTGTTTAGCAAGTCAGAACTACAGTAAAGTTTCAAAATTGTGCATTTGTCAACCAGTGAGCTAGTAGTGTCCAGTAAGTGTTCCTAGAGATCATCAGAGTGAGCTAGTAATGTCCAGTTAGTGTTCCTAGAGATCATCAGAGTGAGCTAGTAATGTCCAGCAAGTGTTCCTAGAGGACATCAGAGTGAACTAGTAATTTCCAGCAAGTGTTCCTAGAGGACATCAGAGTGAGCTAGTAATGTCCAGCAAGTGTTCCTCGAGGACATCAGAGTGAGCTAGTAATGTCCAGTAAGTATTCCTAGAGGACATCAGAGTGAGCTAGTAATGTCCAGCAAGTGTTCCTAGAGGACATCAGAGTGAGCTAGTAATGTCCAGCAAGTGTTCCTAGAGGACATCAGAGTGAACTAGTAATGTCCAGCAAGTGTTCCTGTAAAAGGTCAGGGTGTACTAATAATGCCCAGCAAGCATTCCTAGAAGTGGTCAAAGCAGGCTAGTAATTCCCACTGACAATTCATAAAGGATGTCCAAGAGGGCTAGTAATGTCCAGTAAGTGTTCCTAGAGATGATCAGAGTGAGCTAGTAGTGTCCAGTAAGTGTTCCTAGAGGACATCAGACTGAACTAGTAATGTCCAGCAAGTGTTCCTAGAGATGATCAGAGTGAGCTAGTAATGTCGAGTAAGTGTTCATAGAAGATATCAGAGTGAGCTAGTAATGTCCAGCAAGTGTTCCTAGAGATGATCAGACTGAACTAGTAATGTCCAGTAAGTGTACCTAGAGATGATCGGAGTGAGCTAGTGATGTACAGTAAGTGTTCCTAGAGGACATCAGAGTGAACTAGTAATGTCCAGCAAGTGTTCCTAGAGGACATCAGAGTGAACTAGTAATGTCCAGCAAGTGTTCCTAGAGGACATCAGAGTGAGCTAGTAATGTCCAGCAAGTGTTCCTAGAGGACATCAGAGTGAGCTAGTAATGTTCAGCAAGTGTTCCTAGAGATGATCAGAGTGAGGTAGTAATGTCCAGCAAGTGTTCCTAGAGGACATCAGAGTGAGCTAGTAATGTCCAGTAAGTGTTCCTAGAGGACATCAGAGTGAACTAGTAATGTTCAGCAAGTGTTCCTAGAGATGATCAGAGTGAGCTAGTAATGTCCAGTAAGTGTTCCTAGAGGACATCAGAGTGAACTAGTAATGTCCAGCAAGTGTTCCTAGAGGACATCAGAGTGAACTAGTAATGTCCAGCAAGTGTTCCTAGAGGACATCAGACTGAACTAGTAATGTCCAGCAAGTGTTCCTAGAGATGATTGGAGTGAGCTAGTAATGTCCAGTAAGTGTTCATAGAGATGATCGGAGTGAGCTAGTAATGTCCAGTAAGTGTTCCTAGAGGACATCAGAGTGAGCTAGTAATGTCCAGCAAGTGTTCCTGTAAAAGGTCAGGGTATACTAATAATGCCCAGCCAGCATTCCTAGAAGTGGTAAAAGCAGGCTAGTAATTCCCACTGACCATTCATAAAGGATGTCCAAGAGGGCTAGTAATGCCAAATGAGCATTCCTAGAGGAGTCTAAAGTGAATTAATAATTCCCAGGGAGTATTTTCACCCAAGAAGGAGTCTTAATCTTCTGTATGAGGAATTTGTTAATTTGCTGATGACATCCAGACATCTTATAATATACTACAATATTTTATGTAAATAACACAAATTTGAATAATTTTTCACATGATACAAGTTACTAGCTGTAAGTATAGTAGCATTGTCTTCTTTGTTCATTATCATATCAAAGTTCTGCTAACATTTAATTCTTTTGGATAAAAGCAAAGTATAAATTTTCCTTACCTGGAGGTCTGCTAGATGTTAAAATCTTAATGAGGTCTGTTAAAATCTTAATGAGGTCTGCTAGATGTTAAAATCTTAATCATCTAGCAGACCTCATTAAGATTTTAACATCTAGCAGACCTCATTAAGATTTTAACATCTAGCAGACCTCATTAAGATTTTAACATCTAGCAGACCTCACTGAGATTTTAACATCTAG